CCAATGATGCTGGATCCGGAGCGCTGTCTTTGACCAGAATCATACTCACCCTGCAATGAACACGGTTAGACATAGACATAGTCTGCATAGTGACTCTGATAGCGCAAAGGCCACTTACGAGAAAGCCAGGCAAGCGGTCCTAGCCATCAGCAGCAGTACACTGATGCCGGCCCACAAGATCGCTTTTGTAGCTGGATGCACACCTGACACACCGTCGACTTCGATCAGGCCCATCCGTGCGATGATGTTCAGACCTGGGAGTAGAACATAGCAATACGGCCAGATACTCATGCAGCTGTTGTACATCTTCGCATGGTCAAACCGACGTAAAAGGTATGGCATGAAAAATAGTTGCAAGCCTGCGGATATAGCCCCGGATGTTGCAAGTGCTAGTCCGATCTCGGCAGCCTGGACCACAAACGACATCGAGTGTTGGTCAATGTGAAGCACAGTTAATGTTAGTTGACGCACAGTAAACGCTAGACCACCAGTTAAAACAGGCGAGTAGCAATATAGCACGAAGATGACGTCAAATCCAGTGTTGCTATAATATGCGTCAGCATTTAGAGTACCGGCTGACAGGAATAACTTGCATAAATGATAGGGCACATCCACTCAAGCATAGAGCACGGACGACCGGAATTGAGAGTAGGTACTTGAGACTGGCGGGCTGCACGGGTTTCTCAGAGTCACTAGATGACTGTAAACCATTCAAAGAAGAGGCCGAGGAGTTATGTCTTTTCCGACGCTTACTCGGGAGAGTCTAGGGACAAGAATAGGTAAAGATTTGCTCGGATGACACCATTAATAACTCACTTCTTCGAGATAAAAGTATCCGAAGATAGCCCCAAGGGCGGCTACTAGGGCGGCTGTTAGAGAGGGTAAAAGGTAAGGATAGGTCCTGAAGAGCTGCGTGTTAAATAGTCGAGGATATTTCACTGCTGGGTTCGAGAAGGTACCACCGAGCAGAGGTCTGGATTGTGTTTAATAGAGAAGTGGTAATGATAAGCATGTGTCTGCCTTACCCGATAATAGCACCTAATGGCCAACAAAGACCATAGATGGGAAACGCGGTCGCTTGGTTTGTGGAGTCAGTAATCTCGCCGATGATGGAGTGGACGACGGCGACATTCCCAGAAAATAAGCCGGCTGGAAGGGGGAAACGATTGAGGCACTGCATGAGTCAGAGCAATGGCCGTGCATACCGAGACTTCTGGCGAACAGGACCCCCACAAGGCTTTGGGAAAACCCCATCATTACAGTACCGAGAGCGATCCCGAAGATGCCAGTGAGGACGACAGGTTTGCGCCCAATCTTGTCTGTACCAATACATCAGACCCTCCACGCAGTCGAACATGGCAAGCGCAGACTCACCAGATAGTCGTGCCCAGTGATAAATTGAGAAGAGCTGGGCGATAGCAAAGCTGCTCTCCTAGGGATTGCGGAAGAGTATCGACAACTGTGTCCCATAACACAAGTTGAATCATTCGCTCACCACCATGCCGCTGTACAAGCCAGTTTTGGAACGGTCCTCGGTGAGATGAAGGTGATCCATCATTTCATTGACATATGGAAATATCTGGGTGAACATGATAGGGTCGACTAGTCTCACTGCACATAACGTAGCGAGTTGAGCTTTGGGTAAAGGGGTGACCCTGGAGTGATTGGTAACTCTGCCCCCATCCTCGAGCTTGATAGCCCCCTCGATATCGTCGGAAAGAAAAGGCTGTAGCTCCTCATCAGGTAAAGAATCATTGCTGGAATTTGACTCGTATGACTGAGCGCAGGAATGGTGGACCACCATACTCGCGTTGCTCGGGGGACAGAGGCAAGCGGGAGGAGCTCAAAAGCGAACGGGGGATGAGTTTTGAGGCAATTTATAACAGACTCCAGGGCTTGAGAACGTGCTGCAGGCCGTTGGCGGCATCACAGATTCCAGAATACCAGTAACCTTTTACGTTTCCGCCGGTCCCTATCCCGTCAAGTGACGAATTCTATGACTCGCTATCAGTAACCGGTCTGATGTAAAATTATTATTGTATGGAATGAGGGATAGAATATATATAAACATATGCATACCTGCATGCTGTAGTTGAGCCTTGAGCATCCTCCCGCTATCCGCCCTCTGAGCTGTCTTACATTCATTCAAAACCCGAACATTATTGATTGCGAGTGGGGATTGAAAGGGCCGGGACCCCGGTGAATCCTGATCTACGCTGGTGCAAGTCCATCAAGGTCCACGGGACAGTCCCCCGCACTCATGGACCACGTGCACTAGTCTTCTGCGAGTGTCAGCCGCTTGCCTCTTGCCTTTCGACTTTGACCAGCTCGACTCTTATTTGCAGTGCAATCCACGAGCTTCACCCTTGTTGCCCTCTAATTCTTCTATTTCAACCATGCATCTTAATGCTCACGACAACCTTGTCCTTGTGGCCCCTCGCCCAGTGCGATTGTCTGCCCCCGCTCCTTTTTCTCAGTTCCACTCTGCCGTCGTACACCGTCCCCAGCCTATGACCACCGTCCGTTTCGTCTCTGCGCCTTCGGATGCATTTGACAGGTTGAAGTTGGGTGATGAGACTTCAGTCGAAGACGTCAGAGCCGACCTCTCGTCCCCATCGGAGCGAGATCGTTCCGTATCTCCTCGCGCATCTCCTCGGTATGTACCCAAATTCACAGAGATCTCTAATGATACGACAGGGCTCTTGATTTCCTGTTGCTCTACATGAGATGTCTGGTGCGTACTTCTGAAGAAGCTTGCTGAACCTCTGGTTGGTCTAGGTCCACACTACCCTCCGAGGCCATGGAAGAATTTCTCTCCATCTTACAGCCGTCGTCGTTCCTCTTTCCGCCCACCTCGCCCATATTGCGACCCAGCAACAGCACAGTGCATGGCTTTGTTCCATATCGGCGACCTGGCTCATGTAGTCTCTCCCCTGTGATGCATAGCGATGGCCTCGGGATGACCATCCAGAGCGATTGTTTGGGCAAAGAGAATGATTTAGTCACGTATCCCTTCAAAATTCTTGGGGGACATCTCTGTAAGTGACACTTCGCTCCTTTTTAGTCTTTCGCCTCACGACTCTATTCTTGGCTGATAATGATAATCCGGGACAATCTCCGCTGTATCCACTCGTCATACCAGCTTCACCCATCTCCCGCACGCACACTCGCAACCCCTTTCCCCGACAGGCTTCGTTTGACAACGCTATGAGCGCGTTCATCAGTGAACACTCGACGTCTCCGTCCCCAGTGTCGATGGCGCTCTCGCCTGCCGCGGTGCCCTTACCTCTGCCCACTCCTGACGAAATGGAGCTTGACCCTGTCTCCTAGACGGGGCTTTCGTTGGATATACCATGCAGTACCATCCGTGACTGCACCGATATTCTCAATTACCTGCTGTTTATTTAGCTTCATTGTACGTCTATCTTAACTTCTATCTTATGTTCATATCTTCTCGATTGTTGTAACTTTTCTCTCGTCATGTGCCTCTATATCTTCCTTTTCCCCTTGACTCTTCTTTGGTGACATTGGATTCAGTATATTATCTCTTAGACCAATTACAAGGATGTTAATACCTGTATATCACGCCATCTTCTGGTCTGTCTTTGAATCCTAGTTACCAAATACCTGGCCCCAAGCCTTGTACATTTGAATACAATCATATCACGTTGCATAACAACTCTTGTTCAGTTACAGTGAGGTTACTTTTGTGCGATCATTTTGTATATTTCAGCGAAGTTCGCAACGCATCTACTATCAATATTGATTGAATATGTTGATGGCAGACAGTTGCCATTATCAAAGGCTCTAGTCGGGAGACCAAACCGATAATAGGTGGATTTTATCTGTACATGTACCCTCCACTCTTTCTAAACAATTCCGAGTCAAGCTTTCTTTGATTTATATATACCTTTCGTATCAGGCAAAAGGTCAAGGGGACTCCTAATTACTAAGTCCTCATGCGAAAAGCCTTAAAGTATGTAAAACGTGAAAAGTTGAAGAGATGGGAAGTTTGCTTGATGAGAGTGGGATTCGAACCCATATATAAGAAAAAGTCGATTGTCTTCTTTTTCTATATGGTCAGCAACGGAGACTAATTCGAACCCACGCCCCCATGGCGGTTTCATGGCGGTTTTTTCATTCCACTAAAGAACTTGTAGCGAGGAGGCAATACTTTAGTAACTTGATCCAAGCATAGAACGACCATCTCACATTAGAGGTATGGACGAATGTATTCAAGTTGTAGTATTAATTTTACCCCAACTCTGCGAATACGACAACGACAACTACTATCTTCGCGCATATACCCACCAACTCAACTTGCATGGACAGGATACTATCCGCGGTCCGCCGTAGGCACCGAGACGCAGGTTCGAAACCCTGTCTAGTCTGCAAGGAAGACTACTTGCATGCGACTTGGAGGCACTGGGAGGGCGACATACTTAGAGAGTCTGTCGCTTTCATTCAGCAGAGTACTATAAGATTTGCTCTCAACTCGCCGGGAGGGAAAGTTGATGATCCCGAGCACTAGTGAGACAGGAATGGATCCGATTTAGCATACGAAGCTGCAAAGGCAAATGTTAGCGAAATTGTCCTCTTCTCGCGGTCTGGGAAAGTTCCCCGCTGGTGTTTCGCCGCAACATACAATGAAGTTTGATGGCGGTTCCCTGCAGCAGTGACAGGGGCAAAACATCGAGCACCTTCAGAAGCCTGAGGTGACTGCGATTATTGTCTTTCCTATAGAACGATTTTGAAGATCCCGGTGGACTGGGAGTGTAGTGGATCAAAAAATACTAATCAACCACACGAACGATCCGTTGCTCCCGTGAAAAGCTGGACTCACTACATGTATGATGCTGACAGTCTCGCTTTATAGAGTCAATTGGTACAGCCTGAGGGTTCAAACGTTCAAGTTGGACTTGAACCAAAGACTCAAGACTTCATTCATGATTCTTAGAGTATGTCTATACTATATTATTCAAACACAGTGACCTTCCGACGGTGAGATGGCCGAGCGGTCTAAGGCGCCAGACTAAGGCATTTGAATTAAATGACAATCTGGTCCGAAAGGGCGTGGGTTCGAATCCCACTCTCATCATCTTTTTTTATTTTTTTCTGCCTCCTGTGGGCACACTAGGATGATATTTTGGGTCTTGAAATACAGCCAGCATTGTTACCTTGCTTGACAAGGTTTCTCCACTTCTTTAATTGTGTGAACTTTTCGACTGACCGGAGTTTGCCGAGCGCTCAAACGGGCCGGGATAACCCATGGCGCGGCGCTACTATTCAGCTCTGCTATTAATCAAGCTCAACTTGAAGTTGATTACAGTTCAGTCTTGTTCAACTCGCGTCAACTTCATACCAATAGCTAATTATACCGTGTCTGGCAATCCGTCTTTTTGGTGTTTCCATGACTCATCACTCAAAATGTGCCAAGCAGCCACACTGAAGTGTAGGTAAGTGGTTTCAAGTTTTGTCTGATTGTGTCTTCAGCCGAACCGTGACATATGAAAAGCTGATTGCCAACTTCTGCAGTGTTTAAGATTTGCTGCCGCAGTCCACAGTCTGTGTACAGCATGTCACGGAGTGACCAGGAACGCCTCAGTGCTGAAATCTGTGAATTCACAAGATGAATTGCTGATTAT